GGGGGGCCGGGCCGCCGGGGGCGCCCGCCCCGCTCATACCTGTCTGATTCACCCCGCGCCACTGGCGTCGCGCCTGCACGACTCTGCCGCCGCCCCCTCCGGGCAGCCATTTCAATCTGAGGACCCAAGCTCTCCAGCCCCATGTGGCAGCCCGTGCCAACCTGACAGCGACGATTTTCCTGGCTGCTGCTCAGACATCTCGACTGATACCCTTTTGGACCGCCCTTTCCTGGAGCCCGCGTCGCGGCGCACGACGCAGCGCTCGCTGTGACAAAATTTTCAGCCACGACGCGCAGTGTACCATGTAACTTTATGATTCCCTCTCAACCTGGATGGGTGCAACATGATGCGTGCGCTGCCGCACTTGGGAAATCGAAAGGGAAATCCACAGCGCTCCCAGCCACAGTGATGACTGAAGAGTTGTCGACAGAGTGACGCCTGCCGGCGGCACCAATGCTGCGAGCACGCACCGAATCAATGTTGAAGTAATGGTGTCGGATCCATGCGACTGGGGCGAAGAGCCCTCCTTGCCGTGCTCTGGGGGAGACAGATCATCAAGCGATCTGGTGAGGGCGATTCACCAACGTTTGACAGGCGCGTGGCGACTCAAATCATGGTCTTAAGCATGCGAACAACCCGCAGGCCCCGTCGAGGATGCACTGCAGCATTTTTTTTTTGCCATCCCCAGGTGAGCTGGTCGGATGCTTCGTATGCGTTTGGTATGCAAAATTGTGCATGACTTGCTCACATTCAGAGCGGCGATGATGCTGGTACCTGCAAAGGCCGCGGCGGCTCCAGCACCAGCAGCGGAAGCGCAGTTGCCGACCCAGCAGTGCAGAGAGGGGGGGGGGGGCGGGCGTGGGGCAGAGGGTGGCAGCGCGGACCTGCCTGCTGTGTCACCTTTGAAATCATTTACATCCGGATCTGCAGGCCTGCTGCATGCAGTCTCTGCTGCCGCCATGGACATGCGGGGTTCAACTGCCAGCTGCGTGGCGTGGCGGGGGCGACGGACGCTTGGCGCTCAGCAGAGGTGAGAGCAAGCTGCGGGCGTCTGGCCGCGCAGGTCGGTGCATGCGAGCAGGTCGGCGCCAGCAGTGGCTTGCACACCCATAAGCTCATGCGCGCGCCCCGCCATGCCCGAAAATCGGCAGTCGGCGGACGGCCGCTCCAACCCGCGACGCGTATGCCCGCCCTTCTCGCGCAGGGCGCGCAGCAAGCGGCCGCCATGCTCACGGGGCAGCTGCGGCGCGCGCCGTCGCTGCAGCGGCTGCAGCAGCTGCTGGAGGGAAAGAGGGGCGTGCTGAACGAGGTCCACGTGGCCGCGGCGGCGCTGAGGGCGGCCGAGCTCGCCAAACCCGCGCCCGGCGGCTCGCCCGAGCAGCAGCGGGAGGCCCGCCGCGGCGCGGCGGCGGTCATGGCGCAGCTGTGCGACGAGCTTCGCGGCGGCGCGCTGCGCGGCATGGCCGCCCACCAGCTGGCCGCGGTCGCGTCGGGGCTCGCCGCGGCGAGGCTCGCCCCGCCGGCCGAGGCCGCGGCCGCGATAGAGGCGCACCTGATCGGAGGCCGGGGCAGCGGCGGAGGCGGCGGCGGCGGCGTGCTGCGCTCGGCCGACGGGCCGGAGCTGGCGCAGCTCGCGCGGGCCCTGGCGGCCGCGCGGCTCGGGGGCGCGGCGCTGTGGCAGGCAGTGGCCGAGGCCGCGGCGGCGGCGGGCGGCGGCGGGGGCGGGCCAGAGGTGGCCGCGTTGGTCACAACGATGGCGGCCGTCTCCAAAGCTTCCGCACACATTGCAGCGGCCCCGGGCGGCAGCAGCAGCAGCAGCAGCAGCAGCGACGTTGGCAGTCGTATCAGCAGCGGTGCAGCCGAGGCCGGAGCAGACGCCCCTGGCCTGCGGGCGGCCTGGGCGGCGCTGTGCGAGCGCGCGGCGGCCGAGGCGGGCCGCTTCACTTTGCAGGACGCGGCGGTCGCTCTGCACGCGCAGCAGGCGGCGGCCCCTCACATTTTGGGGAGCCCCTGGCCCGCCTCGCGCCTCGCAGACGCAGTTGAGGCCGGCCGCGCCTGCGCCGGCGCGCCGGCGGGCCACGACCCGAGCTCCGCCGCGCAGCTCGCGCTCGCCGCGGCGCGCGCCGGGCGCAGGCCGCGCAGCCCGCTGCTCGCGCCGCTGCTGCGGCTGCTGTCGGCGCCGGGCGGCGCCGTGGCGCTTGCACCCGCAGACCTGAGCACCGCGGCGGAGGCGCTGGCGGCGGCGGCGGCGAACGGCGGCGGCGGCGGCGGGGGCGCGTGCGAGGCCGTGCCGGTCGCGGAGGCTGCCGCGCTCGCGGCAGAGTGCCGGCGGCGCCTGCGCGACTTCCACGCGGGAGATCTCCTCCGCCTCCTGCGCGCCATGTCGGCAAGCTTGCGGCAGCCCGACAATGGCGGCTGCGGCACGGTCATCGGCAGCGGCAGCGGCGGCGGTGGCGGCGGCGGGACGTTTTTGGGGGCGCACGTGCCTGAGACCGAGCACCTGTGGTTCGAAATCGCAGACTGCCTGGCCGCGAAGGCGCAGCAGCTCAAGCCCAGCCAATGCCTGCAGCCGCTGAGGGACTGGCCGGCGCCGGCGCCGACGCCGCCAGGAGGGGGGCGCCCCGTCAGCACCGCCGCCCCCGCCGCCCCCGAGGTTTTGCTGCAGGCGCTGGAGCGGCGGCTCGAGGCCGGGGCGAAGTTCGGGCAGCTGTCGGTGGGCGAGGCGGCGGAGGCGCTCGCGCTGCTGGCGCTGCAGCGGCGGCAGGAGGGGCGGGGCAGCGGCGCCGCCGGCCTCGAAAAGGCGGCGGCGGGGGCCGCCATCCAGGCGCTCGAGCGGGCCCCGCCGGGGGACCTCGCGCGGCTCGTCGCCGCGCTCGCGCCAGGCGGCGGGCAGCAGCAGCGGCGGCTCCGGGACGCGGCCGCGCCGCGGCTGCTGCAGGCCTGGGGGCGCGTCGGCGCGGAGGGGCGGCGCGCGGCGGCGGGCGCGATGGTCGACTCGGGGCACCCGGATGGCGCCCTCCTCGCGCGCCTTTCGGGGCTTGGTGTTGGCGTTGGCGTTGGCGGCGGCGGGCCGACGGCGCTGGAGCGGGCGCTCGCCGACAGCGGCAGCATGCAGCAGCTGGCGGTGCGCGTGCGGCGCCACCAGCCGGCCATAGGGCCGCGCGAGCTCGTTGCCGCCGCGGCCGCCGCGGCGCGGATCGCGGCGGGCGCTGCGGGGGTCGTGGGGCGCTTGGAGGGCGAGCGGCGGCGCCGGCCACGGTGGCGGATGCAGGGGTTTGTGGCTGCTCCATCCGAAGTGGGTTTGGAAGGGCGGCGACAAAACTTGCAGGGGCAGCAGCAGCAGGGGCAGCAACAGCAGCAGCAGAAGGGGCAGCAGCGAGGGCAACAGCAGGGGCAGCGGCAGGGGCGGCAGCAAGACGAGCTGCGGCAGCAGGCCCCAGGCCGGCCCCCCGAAGACGACGGCGCGGCCGCGGCGGCGTTTTGGGGTGACCTCGCGCCGAGCCTGCGGCGCCACGCGGCGTCCCTGGGCGCAGCGGAGTTGGCGGCGATCGTCGGCGCGATGGCAGCTCACGCCTCGCCGCCCCCGCGGGCGGCGGCGGCCGAGGCCTGCGCGGCGGCAGCCACAGCCGTCCAGCGCGCGGCGGCAGGCGGCGGTGGATGGGGGGCGGCGGAGGCGGCGGTGCTGGGGCAGGCAGCGGGGGTGGCAGAGGCGGCCGCGGCGCTGGGGTTGCGGCAGGACGCGGTGTGGCGGCCGCTGCAGGGAGCCGTGGCGCGGCTCGCCGCCCTTGCAGCCACCCACCAGAGCGCTGGCGGCCTGCAGGACCCGCAGGGTTGTGCGGGCCCAAGCGGCCTTGCAGCGGGAACGGCGCCTGCGGCGGCGGCGCTGCGCGCCGTGGCGGCGTTCGCGGAGGGCGCGCCGGCGGCGACGGGCGCCCGCGCGCTGCAAAGCGCGGCGGAGCTGCTCTGGGCCGTCGAGCCGGCGGCCTTCGCGCACGGTCGGCCCTCCGCCGCCCTCGCGGCGCAACAGCAGCTTCCCGCCGCCCTCTCTGCGGCCGCTTTCGCCCTCTCCCGCTCCCCCGCGCCCGCGCCCGGCCGCCTGCGCGAGTGGCTGGCCGCGGCGGCCGCCACGGCGCCGTGGGACGGCTGCGACCGCCTTGGCGCCGCGGAGGCCGCGGCGGGGCTGGCGCGCATGGGCTGCTGCCCGCCGGTGCTGGGGGACCGCGTGTGCGGCGCGGCGCTGAAGCTGGCGGGCTCGATGGGGCTGCGGGAGCTGGCGGCGACGAGCGAAGCGGTGACGTACGGGCTGGCGCCGGAAGCGGCCGGAAGCGACTCCGTTGATGGCGGCGGCGGCGGCGGCGGGTGTGACGGTGGGGGTGCCCAGCGGCGGCCTGGGAAAGCAGGGTCTGCGCTCGCGCGGCTGGCGGGGCGTGCGTTGGAGCTTCTCGGAGGGCCGCCGCCGCTGGAGCAGCAGCAGCAGCAGCAGCAGCAGCAGCAGCAGCAGCAGGGCGGGGCAAGTGGGCCCGAGGGTGCCGTAGCCATTGTGGGGCCCGCAACGGTGCAGGGCAGGGCTGCGGTGCCGTGGCTCCTGGGACTGGCGGAGGCATTCGCTGTGGCGGCGAGCACCTGCCAGGCCGTCCCAGCTGGGGCGAGCCTCGCTGGCGGAAACAGCCCAGAGGTAGCGGCAGCGGCGGGTTGGCCGGCAGAGGCAAGCGGCGGCGAACTCGGGCCGCGGCTCGCGTCCGCCACCGCCGCCGCGCTCTCCGCGC